TAAGAAGTAGTATGGGACAAAGAAAGAGAACATAACTGTTATTCCTCTAGAAGGATGTCAAAGACAACTAAGGAGATGATTGTATTCAGGCTGTTTTTAAACAAAACATCCTAGGTCTAAGGTCACAGGGCCACAGAGTGGAAATATGGAAATAAAAGGCAACTTGAAGTCCTATGGCTTAGCTCAGAAGGATAATGATGCTCAGAGGAAGGAAAGAGGAATAAATCAAGTACTTTAGTTTTAGTCACTGGAACCAGAGATAATCATGAAATATTTCAATGGAAATCAGTTAAAGATGTTAGAAATACTACTTGACTTGTAGATGATGAAATGAAAGTTGGTATACATCTTTAGGTTGATCAAATGGTTTCATTTTCTCAACAAAAGGTGCCAAAATAGATAAGCTGAGGGTTGAAGACTTGAACTACCTATTGGCAACCTTAAGGGGAATAGGTTGTGTACAGAGGTATTTGTAACTGGGCTCAATCATGGCTTATAGTGTTTCTCCAAGGCTGGAGAAAGATGGTCTTGCACTGATTTATCAAAGTGCCCAGAACACAGTATTACATGTTTCAATGTCTTTGGAACGTTCTGGATTTGGAGATAAAGGTCTTCTTTACTACTGGTCTTTACACGTTTCTTTAAGAGTACAGTGCTTTTCATTTTAGGGAAAATATACATGTAATTTGTACTTCACCCGTTTCCAAGTAATGAAGGTAGATTGCAAGATGAGAGTGAGGGAAATGGGAGGCTCTTTTCTATCTTGGAGAAAACCCAATAGGCTTGGGGTTCAGAGTCAAGGTAAAGCCCTGATAAAAAATAAACAAGCAAATAGAATCAATAAGACAAATAAAGCCAGGAGATTATAAAGAAAGGAATCTTGTGCATTCAATCTCTTGTCAGACATTGAATTTCAGAATGTATAAGGAATTTAACTTACAACAAACAGACAAAAAAGACCCCATAAAATGCAAATTTAAAATGCAATTAACATCCAATTCAAAATGTATCAATGAAGAATTTAGAAATAGTTCAACCTCAATAATCATCACAGAAATGCATCAAAGCCACAATGAGAAATCAAATGATGGGAGGAGAGAGAGACAGAGACAGAGAGAAAGGGAGGGAGAAAGAAGAAGAAAGGGAGAGAAAGAGGAAGAGAGAAGGATGGAGGAGAGAAGGAAAGGAAGAAGCGCAGAAGGGAGGGAGGGAGAGAGGGAGGGAGAAATATTGGCAAGGGTGCAGAGAAGTGAAACTCACATACTGTTTTGGAAAACACAAAGTAGCATGGTCACTATGGAAAACTGGATAAAATCTACTCAAAAAACTAAAAAGCAAAACAAAACAAACCTATGATCTAGTAATCCCACTACTAGTATGTCTCCAAAGGAATGGAAAAGAGTCTGTTAAATAGACGATCGCAACCCGCTTGCTTCCTGCACCCTTGTTCACAACAGACAAGACACAGGATCAACGTAGGTATTCATCAAGAAGAATGGATCCAATTAACTCTACAAACACAATTGGATAGCCTTCATTTATAAACCTTCTGAACTTCTATTATTTACAGCACCACATATAGAACTAGAGGACAGTGAAAAAAAGTCAGGAAAAGAAAAGACCACATGCTCTCACTTATACATGGGAGCTATAAAGTTGATCTCAAAGTAGAGAATAAAATAGCGTTTATCAGAGTAGGGTGCAGGGGAGAGAAGGATGCTAATACAGGCAGGCAGTTGGATAGAAGAAATAACTTGATGCTCTATATATAGCACAATAGGATAACAATGGCTGACAACAATTAATTAACTATTTTGAAGTATCTAGTAGAGAGGATTTTGAATCATCTGAAGCCAAAGGAATAATACACGCCCAATTACATACACCAATTACTTTGATAGATTGCACATTAGACACACGAATTGTCACAATGTATCTCCTATACAAACATACGCATTTAGTAAGTCACTTACAAACAAAACTAAACATAACCAAATACCAAGTGTTCTTGCCAAGAATAGCTCCTCAGAAGGTTCCATATAAGGATCAATGTTCAAAATGCCAAAGTATTATCAACTGTGCAATAAAAAGGTAAAAAATTTCCAAGGTAGTTACATTTTCCTGAATCTACTTCTTACTGTCCACCCCATCCTTACCCTCAGAAATAAAAGACAAACAAACTCATCTTCGAAGAACTTTCCAACACAGTTAATAATACAAATAGATTATTCTTCTATTTGCATTTGTATTTACTCTGTTTTTTCCCACGAGAGCATATTGTGTTTGTAGGAGGATCGGACACATCCATCCCAGGGGACCACACAGAGGCAGGCAGGCACAGGAGAAAGATTATTATACGGTTTATTAGAGGAGCCATATTTCCCCCAAGAGGGAGCACATGGCCTCTGTCTACATCCAGGTAGCAGGAGGCTCTGAAGGGAAAGGAAGTGAGGTAGATGGGAGTTCAGGTGGGTCTGGGCAGAGAGAGGGAGGGACCAGTTGTATCATGGGAACTCCAGGAAGGGGAGGGGCCCAGGTCTGGGTGGAGCTGAGGACCAAAGGTGAGCATAATACTAAGTGTTCAATTTATTATCTTTACCATTTCCTCCCACCAATGTTAATTATTTCACAAATATTCACTGAACCTACATTCTGGCCATACTGTCTGGCTAGAGAAATAGCTGAATAAAACAGGTGTGATTCCTGTCCTAAGGAAGCTAGCAGTCTAGTAGGAGGTGAGAAATCAAACAAGTAGCTACAGATTGTGATTTTTAGCTTTGACAGGAGAGCAATCCTAAAATGAGCTAGAGTAAGTGTGTGTGTGTGTGTGTGTGTGTGTGTGTGTGGAGGGGAGATGGGGGGGCATCAGGTTTGAGGTCTGCTGTGAAAAAAAAATAGAGAAGTAGGGAGACAGACTATTGCAGAAGCTTTCATTATGATGCCCAATGATTCTCTTTTATTCTCTAGAGCCACCATTTTTGGACAATCAAATAAGGTATCACAGCTCTCTGCACTGAAACATAATAATTGTTCAATAAATGTAAATTTTTTAATTAAAAAAATTGTTTTTCGACATAACGACTTGTACATCTCATTGTTGCAATGGGTCCACCTGTATCCCTATTTAAACGATTTGTTTTTTCCCTTCCCCTCCACAAATTATAACAACATCAAATACAGTGAAAGCAGGGGTTATATCATGGGGGAAGGGCATACAAAGCAACAAAGAAATCATCTTATAAATATGTTAGAAATAATTGCATGAAAGAAAAAAAAACATTTGAATCCTTAACTTGGGATTCATTTCCCTAACATCAACTTACCTGACCTTTTCTGTTTGACTCAGACATACGCTGGTTATTGGAAATAAGGGAAACCATGGGACCTATGTTTCTTTGGGCCTGGCTTACTTCACTTAATATAATTTTTTCCAAGTCTTTCCATTTCCTAACAAATGGGGCAA